TGGCTGAGACATGTCTATGGTATATAAAGTACTTTTAAAGTGTATGGATACTCTTTTCAAAGCAGAAAGAGATAGACTTTGCTAGATCAGCAAGGCAGTTCCCAGTTTGTGGCTCCAGTGATGGCTAGTTGAAGTGATGGTACACTCTCATGTAGGGCTGCAACAACTAATCGACATAATCGATTATAATCGATTATTGAAAGTCTTTTTCTGAGCATTTTTGCAAGCGATTGGCTGCTAGGCCATGCTGGGACTTATTGTCCCTCTAGAAGACCAAAGGTTGTCCAAACAACCGTCTCATAATGACTGCTGTGAAACCTGCGTTATTGTGACGTGCGCACACTTTTACCTGCTGGGCGCACTCTTTATTTAAATTGTCCTCTGACCTTGTCCTGTCATCAGCGACTTGTCATCCTTCACTCTGTAAATCAAACCCTTTATGTGTAATAGCAGCAGCCCTTGGCCGCCGGCCGTCCATTTTATAATTGAACCTGGCTTATAAGATAATGAAATTACCATTTGTTAGAGCCCAGGAAGTCCTGCATGCCCGGTCCCCTGCGTAATGATTCTCAGTTCTCTTTACAGATGCTGCAAGCTGATAAATTGCTCATCACTTTGATTAGGGACTAAGCCGATTTGACATTTTTTTCAGCGAAGGAGCCAATTCTGGAGGGTGGACAGCTTGGTCTGCGGTAATTCCAGTATAGGGTTACAGATGAACCTCTTCTGTCAGGGGTTGGTCACAGACAGCTGTGGTAGACTGTAGAGTTTAGGTCATCAAGTGAGAAATGGCAATTTTCCCGGTGAAAGGTGCAATTTTTGTTGCCTTTTACAGTCATAGACACAGGAAAAATGACAAAATAATAGAGTTCTGTTTGACTTTCCTGCTACTAAGCTCGTCTCTGACTACAGACAGCTACTTCTTTCATGTTACAGAGTTCTTAATTTAAAGACCAGGGAACCTTTTTCTCCAGGATACTGGTTTTCATGTTTTCACTTATGTGAAACAAACCTTCACAGGAGGTGTCTTGACTATAGGCTGGGGAAAGCAACCTCAACACTCCAGCTCCTCTGCCTCCAGGAGTCATGTTTGTGTCAGAGTCTTGCAATGCCTCATGGGGCTTGTAGTCCCACAACAGCTGTCTGTTCTAGGAGGAAGAGGAAATTGGGATTCCCATTACTTTCTGTCCTCGTGACAGTGGTCGCCAGTACAGATTGAGAGGATGAATCTCCCCAGCAGGGACATGCACAGCAGTGAAATCATGACAGATTTTCTAACCCGGGGGTCAGCAATCTTTACCACGTTAGTTGTCAATTTACAAGCAGTTGACAATCGGAATGACAGTAACCCGTATTGTGCCATAGACCTCTGATAAGCACCAATTGCTGCCCCTTTGGACTTCACAACAGCCCCAAATTTCTGGACCTTCAAGCCTGAGATTAGCCCCTTATCTGAACCATCAAACCTCTGGTCGACTCCAGTTCCTGGACCTTCGAACCTTAGATCAACCCTATTTAATGCACATTCAGACCTCAGATAATCCCAAACCTTTCACCTTCAGATCTCAGATCAGCCAGTCTTCATGCACCTTCAGACCTCGGAACAGCCGCAGTTCATTCACCTTTAGACCTCAAATCAGCCCCAAACCCTTCACCTTTAGACCTCAAATCAGCTCCAAACCCTTCGTTCTTTTATCTCAGATCAGCCCCAAACCCTTCACCTTTAGACCTTAAACTCTTCACCCTTGTACCACAGATCAGCCCCAAAACCTTCACCTTTAGACCTTAAAGCAGCACCAAAACCCTTTACCTTTAAACCTTAAACTCATTGCCCTTGTACCACAGATCAGCCCCAAACCCTTCACCTTTAGACCTCAAATCAGCCCCAAACCCTTTGCCTTTTTACCACAGATCAGCCCCAAACCCTTCACCTTTGAACCTCAAATCAGCCCCAAACCCTTTACCTTTTTACCACAGATCAGCCCCGAACCCTTCACCTTTAGACCTCAGATCAGCCCCAAACCCTTTGCCTTTTTACCACAGATCAGCCCCAAATCATTCACCTTTTTGCCTAAAATCGGCCCAAAACCCTTCACCCTTGTACCACAGATCAGCCCCAAACCCTTTACCTTTAGTCCTCAGATCAGCTCCAAACCCTTCACCTTTAGACTTCAAATCAGATCCAAACTCTTCACCTTTAGATCTCAGATCAGCCCTAAACCCTTTAGCTGTAGACTTCAGATCAGCCCCAAACCCTTCAGGGGGTTGCCGATGCCTGTTCTAACCCTTCACCAGTCCAAAAGTTTTGTATCTAGATACATTTTAAACTTGTTCAATAACGTCTGCACAATTTAAGAGGGAGCCATATTGGAGAAGCCAGTATCATTCAGATTCAGACAATTGTGACCACAAAGTATAACCTTCTTCTTTAAATATTTAAGTGTAACTATTTTTTGCTTCTTTTATATTTTTAGAGTGGATAAGTAACATCTGTCTGTGACCATGTTGGGGAGATTGTTCCCCACTTCCTGATGATGTTATTATTAAAACAGGAAGCAGGGGCAAATCTTCCAAATGGCACCATATCAAGCCTCTAAAGGGAACTTGAGTTATCTAAGGGGCCTCTAACCCTCCCCTATCTGTCAAGAAGAAAAAAGAAAATCTAGGCTGCAGCATCACTTTAAACCTTCAGACTGTTATGTCATATGCATTGCTCTCTTATTAGAAATGTTCAGTTCTTGTTGCTGCTTTCATCTCATACCCTTGGTAATTGGCCTTTCATTATTAAGAATGTGGAGGCTCAGCTGCTCGGACACATCACTAAGAGGCCTGGAATGTAAATGTCGTCACTCGCCGAACTTCTCACAGAATATCAAATTTATTGAACTTATTGGCATTAGTCAACCTTTAGAGAGCAACACAATAAATGAGTGACATCGAAAATACCACAGCCATTGCATCAACACAGCAGCCGGTCAGCTTCCATCTTAAGAAGCAATGGTCAGCCTAGGGCCGGATTTCCCACAAGGCCAACCAAGGCCCGGCCTCGGGGGGGCAGGGAGCTGAGGTGCGGCAGGGTTTCCTATCGCCCAACGCCCGCGACATGAAGTCCTGGGTGCCGGGCAGGTAGTTGTTTTCTACATTTAGCTCTGCTTAGGGCAAGCAGAGCTAAATGTAGAGCAGGGAAGCCGCTGATTCGTTTACAAGTGATCTTGGCGATGTTGCCGAGATCACTTGTATGCAGCCAGCTATCTCTCTCCCCGCCGGTCGGAGAACCTCTCTTCAGGATGGAGAGTGGGGAGCAGAGTAAGGAATGTCCGTTCTCCGCTCTGCTTCATGTAAACAGTGTGAAGGGAGAGCTGCCCTCGCAGCCTTCCCCTCTCGGCTGTGCTGTGCTAGAACTCCTGTATTGGAGGTTCAATAAAGAGAACCAGTCACCCCCAAATGCTATCACACAGGGGCTTGTTAGCTCCTGTGTGATAGCAATAAAGTTAAGTGAAAAAAATAAAAACAAAAATAATTAATAAAAAAATATAAAATAAATAAAAATTTAGAAAATAATAAGAGAGAGTAAATCCAGTCCTGGGTCAGCCCACATAGTTGCCTCATGGCAGGTTTCCTTTAAACCTATTGTAGTAAAGCTAAACCCTTTCCTAGCGTGACAAATCTGCATAGTTGAAGAGATTTTAACGTTTAATCCTAAAGTTACACACATTGCTACAGACAATGCTTAGTGTGTTCTGCTATAGGGTTCCTAAGAGGTTTAGGTTTGCAAGAAATAGTCTTATGGTACGCTTACTACGGTATTATGTATTTTCCGGCACTATTACTATATATTGTACCACGTGTTAGACATGTAAGCTGCGGAAAAATTCGATTCGGTTCAGATTTTTCGTTATTCGGCATTTGGATACGAAATTCAATTCGGTTTGGGGGTTTCGTATTCGGACAAAATCCGAATTTTCATTAATTGCGGATGAGTTTACGAATATTCCTTGCGACTACCACAGAAAACCATATACAGATATTAATAGTAAAGCTGAAGCTCCCAGACCCGAATGGCATTCGGGAGTCCAAATTTCTGAATAGCATTCAGCAGCTCCAGAAAGCAATTTGGGTCTGGGAGCCATATACATACATAATACTAAAGCTGAAGCTCCTAGACCCGAATGGTATTCGGGAGTCCAAATCTCCAAATACCATTTGGGAGCTCCAGAAAGCAATATGGGTCTGACAGCCATATACATATATAATACTAAAGCTGAGGCTTCCAGACCCAAATAGCATTTGGGAGCGCCCAAATGCTATTCGGAAATTTGGACTCCATGCGGGTCTTGGAGCCTCAGCTTTAGTATTATGTATATAAAATTAGTATTCTATTCTAAAACACATCTGATTGGCCTGAAAAGTCACGTGTCCGATCCAAATTAGTTTTTAAACGAAATTCGGGCGGGATCCAAAATTTCGTAAACAGAAATTCGGTTTTGGACACATTCAGATGCATTGGGATCCGGAAATTTGGATGTGTCCAAATTTTCGGAAAATTGGTACCAATTTTGTTTTGGAAATAAACAGGTCGCACATGTCTACCACGTGTGTCATCCGGACCTCTCTCAGCTGGTCTAGTGAGCGGCATGAGCTTTACATGGAATGAATCAGGTTTAGAGATTTAAACAAAAGTTATTTTGAGGGGAAAAAAAACTGTTTTAATATAATCCCTTAAATAGGGCACTTTGTAACCCCTCCCCCAATTTTCTGTGAATACAAAGAGGAGTTTTAATATTGGAACTAGTATTGGTGTGATAGTACAGCTTTAAGGTTTGACTTACAAAAGGACTACACTTCTGAAAGTTGGGAGTCATGGAGATGTATTTGCTGCTATGGTTTTCATGTTTTATTGAACCCTTTAGAAATGTGATTTGCCGTTTTGTTCAGTTTAATTGTCACTTTATGTCCGTAGCACTTTTTCATGTACTAAGATTGATCCTTTTGTCTTTCAGCTTAGCACGGTACATACTAGGAAGACCGGATCTCAGGCACTTTATCAAGGACAAATGGTAAGTGCGTTTGGTTATTAGTGTGCGTTGTCTTTTATCATCTGAGTTCCATTATCAGGACCTTTTTTCATGTTCAATGTACTAGCAGTGATACTGATGCTGCCTCCGGGTCAGAGAGAGCTCCTCATGTAATACATTAGCCTCCTATATAAACCTGGACAGCTATGTGTTTCTAATGTATGAGAACAGTTGGGCACTCATGCAATATCTGACCATCCCTCAAATCCTGAAGATGCAGCTTCTCCCCTAAAAATTAGCACTGTGATTGCTTCAATTACAGGAAAGATTTGGATTATCTGGAACAAGGAAGGACAATAATATTTGGATAGTCTTCTAACCTGCCTGGTTCTCTTCTATGAACAGTTGTGTTGGGCCATCTCAAGGTGGACACCTTTGGCTCACCGAGTCAACCCGCATCTGAAACATTAGTTTCTTCTTCTTAGCAACTTGTACCTAGCTGACTGTGCTCCTTCCAGCTGGAAGGCTTTAATTTATTCTCAAGTGACTACAAAGTGCTTTTGGACTCTGTATCTTTTAGGTGGCTGCTCCTAGTATATTCAAATGCTCTGAGTCACTCCTTTGGTACCCATTTGAAGGTATTCTTGGTGTATGTGAGCAGCCTTGCTGGAGCCAACGAGATCATTGAAATTTCATATCTCCTTATCTCCTAAGCAATAAATACCTGAAGTCCCAGCACCATTTGGCAATTGTCTTTGAAGTTTCCTTGCCAGTAATGGGCAGGGGGTGGCAATTCTTATATGACATGGTGGTGCTTTTGCAACAGTGGTTTACCAGTTTGTCAAATGAATTTAGTAACTTTAGCTCCCAGCACCTTCACTGTGACCGTGCATGTTAGTATCAGATTGGTTACAGCAAGTATATGATGCTTTTTTCTAAGTCGAATGTGATATTATGACAATATCACATTATGACCACTAGATGGAGCTGAGGAGCATTGGAAATAAATACCTATTTCCTATGCTCCTCAGCTCCATCTAGTGGTCATAACAAGGTATTTTCCAAATAATACATTCGACCTGAAAGTAAACTATATCACAAAGGTTTGTTGTTGCTTCCATTCACAAAGAATGAACGTTCACAGAGTTTTGCAGGATGAATTGCTCTGCAAATGATTTATAGATCGTCATAGATGTGTCTCTATCGCACACATACCGGTATCCCCCTAGCTCGGGTGCTGGAACAACTGGTGCAGGTTCGGGTCGACGTGTAGCAGTGTGCAGCCACGTCCTGCCATAGGCACGCAATCACACGCAAGACGTGTCCCTTCCAGGAGAACTGGCGTAAGGATTTGCACGGGCATGCATGCTGTAAGGATTTGCCCGGCTGTGTGAATGAGCCCATAGTGTATTACCAGCAGGATCACCAGGTGAATATAAAGGAGAAGTTCATGAAAAAAGAAAACTAATGCAGCCACCACATCTGAGGACGGGTAAGCTGCATTATATGACACGTTTGTTCAGCCGTTCGCAAAGCTAACACTGGTCAATTACGATCACAAGCTTGCTGTCCCAAGCTCTGTCCTGTGGTGCTAGTGTGGCAGAATGTGTCAGATGCTGCAGATAGGGAGGGGCGTCCCAGGAGAGACAGCCAGGAAAGAGAGAGAGAAGAGAGATGGCCAGGAGAGAGAGCGAGGAGAGACACCTAGGAGAGAGAGCAAGGAGAGACAATCAAGCAGAGAGAGAGAGGAGGGACAGCCAAAAGAGAGAGGGAGGAGGAACAGCCAGGAGAGAGAGGAGGGACAGCCAGGGGAGAGGAAGGAGGGACAGCCAGTGGAGAGGGAGGAGGGACAGCCAGAGGAGATGGAGGAGGGACAGTCAGGAGAGAGAGAAAGAGAGAGGAGAGATATCCAGGAGGGAGAGACAGCCAGGGGAGAGGGAGGAGAGACAGTCAGGGGAGAGAGTGAGGAGAGACAGCCAGGGGAGAGAGAAGAGAGAGCAATGAAAGAGAGAGGAGAGACAACCAGGGGAGAGAGCAAGGAGAGACAGCCAGGAGAGAGAGAGGAGAGACAGCCAGGGGAGATGACGGAGGGACAGTCAGGAGAGAGAGAGGAGAGACAGCCAGGAGGGAGAGCGAGGAGAGACAGCCTGGAGAGAAAGTGAGAAGAGAGAGCCAGGAGAGAGCAAGGAAAGAGAAAAGAGAGACAACCAGGGGAGAGAGCAAGGAGGGACAGCCAGGAGAGAGAGAGGAGAGACAGCCAGGGGAGATGACGGAGGGACAGTCAGGAGAGAGAAAGAGAAGAGACAGCCAGGAGGGAGAGCGAGGAGAGACAGCCAGGAGGGAGAGCGAGGAGAGACAGCCAGGAGAGAGAGTGAGGAAAGACAGCCAAATGAGAGAGCGAGGAGAGACAGCCAGGGGAGAGAGTGAGAAGAGACAGCCAAGAGAGAGTGAAGTAGGAGTTTTGTTTTTTATTTTTAGATCTCATTGAGCTCATCATTCAAAAAGTAGATCTGAACACAAACAATTGTGGGCACCCCTGCTTTAAGGCAACAGAATTTACAGAATTTTCGAAATAATGTTAACAATTTCAAAAATAGTGGCGAGGAGCAGACCCGGTCATTATTATTTAATCAGAATAGTAGGTCGGGTGGAGGGGGGGGAATAGTGTTGGGACTCCACAGGTTGTATTTTCTGAAATATGGACACGCACTTTAAAACTCATCCCGCACCGTCAGTCCAAAGCTCTATTCTCTAAATTCTTGTTAGCTGACGAGTAGCATTGATGTAAAAGGATTTCGTCAGAGCCAGGTTTGGATATTTTATTGTATGTATCCCTGTGAAAGCCTTTATGAGCACTCAAGTTATTTGGTGTTTTTATGCTCTGATGTTCTCTCTTACAATACCTTCTGTAGAACAAGGAACAACTGCTCTGAGCCGCGTCTCCTCTGTAGATTTCCGACAGCAATTTTGCTCCATTTAGAACACGGCGTTCATATCCATTCTGGATCCCATCGCGGTGGCGGCGGCGGGATGGCTTTCTTCTCGGCTCAATGTGCTTCTGTTTTAAATAAAACCTTGGAGATAATACTTTTTAGTTCTTCCTGTGAAGTGATAAAACCCTAATTATTTCATTCAGTAGGAGTTTCATATTCCATGTGCGAATGCGTGTTCTTCACTCTTCTTGCTGCTGTATATTGTGAGAGGCAGGTGTCGTAATCTGTGGGGTGCCCTGACACTGGCGGGGTTCACTCCAAACAAGTGTCAAAAATGGTACCGGAAAATATAGCTGCAAAAAATATAAACCTTTAAAAGCATACAATGAAAATACAGTATACATGGGCAGAGGTTATCTTTAAGGAGAACTATGGGGTCAGGGCTTTTGCCCATACTTCTCCTAAGGGTAACGGGAGGACACAAACTAGCGTCCTCCCGTCACCCTAAGCTCAGTATACCGCGAGCTAAAGCTCGCGGTATACTGAGACGCCGCAGCTGAAATGGATCCCGACAATTATGTCTGGATCCGACCAGCTGCGTGAGTGACAGCTGGCTCTGCCTATCTAGAGGCAGAGGCAGCTGTATCTGCCCCCTCCCCGTCCGATCCGCCAGTCAGCGCTGGAGGATCGGAGCGGGGAGAGGGGAATCCAGCCCCTCCCCTGTCACGGCTCTGTGCCGTGACAAGATCGAGAAGTGAGCGAACGCCGGTATGTGTTCGCTCACTTCCCGATCTACTGAGCCGACCAGTGACAGTCTCATTGTCACAGGTTGGCTAGAACTGAGGTGAGTGAAAAGCACTCACCTCATAGTTCTCCTTTAAGACCAAATCCCGACAAAAACTACATGTTCTGAAGATGAGAGGATGGGGAGGCCTGCTGTAGTCCAGCAGATGAGTAGAGGCCAGGATTTCAGTACAGCAAAGGCACTGTGTTGCCAGCTCATACAGGAAGTTAGGAGCTGACTGGTATTTTGGCAGGATCAACAAGTATTTTTATTCCTTCTTAAAACTATGGTATGAGCAAATGTTGCCCTCATACAAGAGCCATGTGTATTCTTCCTTGAATCTCGGTGAGCTTTGTGTATTTCTTCCTGATCTGTGCAGTTTACCAGTGTGACACTTGGAGCTTTCTGTAATGAAGACCGCTCCCTGCTGCTCTCTCTCCTTGAGCGGGGTGACTGGTCTTGTCTACGCCCCCTCCTATAATAAAGACCAGTCAATGCTTCTTTCTCTCCTTGGGCAGGGGGACTGGTCTTGTCTCTGCCTCCTCCTAAGGGCAGGCACCCTAAGGGCTCATTCACATGGGCATGCATGCCCGTGCAAAGTCCCAATCCTGGGAGTGACAGGTACTACGTGTAATAGCGAGCAGCAGCCTGTACCTCCCTATGTAAGGATGCGGCTCCATGCAATTACACACGGTTACATGCACGCCTGGACTTGTTCATCAGGGGTGCTGCGGGTGCCCGCACTTGAATGCAGACAGTGTGCGTCCAAGTGCGGGCACCTGGACCTGCATGGATATGCAGGTTCAAGTACGCTTCTAATTGAGTGTAATTGTGTGTATAGGATTGGGTGTTTGCACAGGAGTGCACGATGCACGAACGTGCACGCCCATGTGAATGAGCCCTAAATATGGGTGTAACATGGAACATTGTATGAAAGGTGGAATTAACCTTTACGTACTGGTAAGCTGTAGTATATTACTTTTTTGGGGGCGTTTAGATACACTTTAAGCCATTTTTTCACATTCATATTACTAAGCTTAGGTTAAAGGAGAACTATGGGGTCAGGGCTTTTCCCCATAGTTCTCCTTAGGGTAACGGGAGGACACAAACTAGCGTCCTCCCATCACCCTAGGCTCGATGTCGAGATCCGCCCAGCTGCGTGAGTGACAGCTGGCTCTGCCTATCTAGAGGCAGAACCAACTGTACCCTCCCCCGTCCGTTACGCCAGTCAGCGCTGGCGGATCGAATGGGGGAGGGGGGAATCCAGCCCCTCCCCTGTCACGGCAGAGAGCCGTGACAGGATCGAGAGGTGAGCGAATGCCGGT